CTAATAGTAGGGCTTGAGGACCTAAGGGTACCCCCCAATAGTAGGGCTTGAGGACCACACACTGAACAATATGTAGATGGATGTCTTAACAAATCCAAAACTATTTGGTAGATCTGTGAGAACCGAAAAACAAATCCAAACCCAATGCCAAGTCTAAACTACAAATCCAAACCAGCGCCCAAACCCTAGGTACAAACCACAATTCTAATCCAAATATATCATACAAGTCCAAATCCAAATCCAAACCTAGCATACGAATCCAAATCCAAACCCAATTCCTAAGGGTTTGATGCCGAATCCAAATCTACCTCAAGAATTGTTGCATCCCTACCCGACACCCACACCCACACCCAACTGCATTTATCTTTTTAAAGCACATCATTTATTTAATTTCGAAAAGAATATTATCGATTGCTGAAAAGTTAAAGTTTAGCTTTGCTTATTCGTTTGTTTTCTTGATGTGTAATTTGCTATGCTCCGAAATTCACTTCCTGTAACAACTTGAAATTTTGGTAGAAAAGGTTCCGCTCCCGGTATTCCCATTAGAGTATTTGCATTCCACCAAAATACGAATTGGTTTCTGGGTATTATTATCATTATACTGCAGTGTGACTGTCATTTCCACATATGCACTACGATCTCCTCGTTCATGTTGTCTTGTCAGATAATCGTAAATTATCTTCTCATTGTGATTATAATACTTTTTATTAGATGTGGGATCTTGTGGAATAAAATTATATATTGCATCCCTCGGCCCACCTAATGCATCGCCGATAATATGACCCACCTGATCGTCGTCACCAAAGCCAGCTGAAGATCGGATGATTTTTCCCACATCATTGGAATAACCTTTACCCTGTCTTGGACCTTTACGTAAATTTTCAAATGTAATTTTTGCAGATACAGATAGAATTTCACCATTGGGTCCTTTTATGTAAGATGTGACGGGATTGTTAGGTTCGTCTACGCGTACTAGAAAAAATGAGAAAATTTTGCTGACTTTCTGGCACATTTTCTCTTAAAAAAATACGCATTTGCAATCAGAATTTTACATTCTTTCGAACAGAACAATTAGATCTCCATTAGTGCGTCAAGCATCACTGTATTGATGGTATTTTACCCATGAATTATTGTTAATAGAATCGCCATCAACACACAAAAACTTAATTTTATTTCTGTTCTACATATGCTTTTATGTACTCTCTTTCTCTCTACTGAGGATATATCGAAAACTCAAATATATCTATAAAGCCAAAACAAGATCGACAATATACACCAATTACCGTAGAGATATAGCAAGACTTCGTTTTTCTTTCATCGGTTTCTATAAACCAAGTTTTAAGGCGAACAGTCAAAGAGTTGTCCCCTTTGCTCGGGCATAGTAAATCTGATTGAACTGAGAAATGTTTAAGATACTTGCGACACTGTAGGTTGCCTCATTATTTTAATTCAAAAATTTTGTATTGTTGAGTTTTGACAGGTCTTCTGAGAGAAAACTCACGTGTTTTAGGGTTCTTTCAGTGTTCTGTCGGTGTTAGAAGAAGGGAATAGAATAAAGAATCCAAAAATTTAGACATCCATAAGTCTCTCCAATGTCTATAAGAGAAGGTATGAGTGCGTTTTGAAGCAGATTAAGACGCGTTTCGACCTTGCTTAAGCCCAGGTCGAAGAGTACGAGTCGATTCCCGCAGGGAAACAACGGTAATCAACGGAACGTAGAAGCAGTATTCGGGTCCAAAATTTTGCCGATTTTTCTCCGGTGAATCCCTGCTCTTACCGATAGGAAACGGCCGGAAATCATCCGGAAAATATCTGAAAAATTTACCACCGAAATACTGCTTCCACGTTCCGCTGATTTTCGGTGGGAACTGAAGATTTTTCCGGCTCTTTCCTGCAGGTTCCTGCAGTATCCGGTGACCGGAACGATCGACCTGGGAGTAAGGGTGTCGATTTACATTTACGTTTCATTTAATTTACGCGTAAATTAAATAAAAGTAAATTTAAATTGACACCCCCTAGTAACAGCGCTCAACAGTGTTGTTCAAACATTTGGAATGCTACCACCATGGATTTTTGGTTATGACTCGGGATGCCGATTCAAATTTACTTTTATTTAATTTACGCGTAAATTAAATGATAAGTAATTTATATTTATAATAAATATAAATTATTTTGTTACAAAATTTACATTTACGAATAAATGTGAATTTGAAAATTTACATTTACAAATAAATATAAATTTTGAAAATTTACATTTACGAACAAATATAAATTTTGAAAATTTACATTTACGAACAAATATAAATTTTGAAAATTTACATTTACTTGTAAATGTAAAGTTTGCAAGAAAATAATTTACATTTATTTGTAAATGTAAGGTTTGCAAGAAAATAATTTACATTTATTTGTAAATGTAAAGTTTGCAAGAAAATAATTTACATTTATTTGTAAATGTAAGGTTTGCAAGAAAATAATTTACATTTATTTGTAAATGTAAAGTTTGCAAGAAAATAATTTACATTTATAATAAATATAAATTTCTCATAATTTATATTTATTGTAAAGTAAATGGTAAAAGACACCCCTACCTGGGAAGTTCTCATCGTGTAGGTTAATCTTTATAACTTCTCAAAATGACTAAACGCGTCGTAATATGCTTCAAAACACACCCATACTCTCACGTATATCATCGACTCATGCTGAAATTATAGTATTCCTCGAAACCCAGGTCGAACATTCCGGTACAAAAACGGTTGGTTCTGAGATATTCCAGCGATTTCGTGGGAGCAGTATTCCGGTAGGATTTTTTCCGATGATTTTCGGTCGGTTCCTGCCAGAAAGTACAGGAAGTTGGCAAGAATTCAAGGGAAAAATTCGATCAGTTTTCAACTAGAATACTGCTTCCATGCTCCAGCGATTTCCGTTATTGTCCTGAAGGATCCAGTGAGTTTTTCGCATCTTTCCTCCAGGATCCTGCAGGATCCGGACGGCAGAATCATCGTCGTGCGCTTTTCTGTATTTCGGAAATACTTCGAAATACAGAAATATAGAAATACACACCCGTCCCTCCCCCCTTGAATTTTTTTTACAGAAAAATGAGGACGACAAATGAACAATAAGTAGCATTTCTAATGATTGAAACGTAGATTATTTTTAATGTTTTTTAACGCCCAGGAAATCAGAGAGTAATTTTAATGCATAAAACTGATTTATTTCGCACAACAGTTCTCAGAAAATACACTCAAAACTTCACGAAAGTCTTCTGGTGAAAAGCATGATTATCAACGGATGCTTATCACAGAGTGAAGATGTCTTCACACAGATATGTTCTTCTACTAGTAACTTGTTTGAAATTTGAAGCTCTGTAACATAAGAGAGACACTATGATGAATTTCTGACAGTTGCGATCGCTACTGGTGGCGCACAGTGTGTCCAGAATCGCATTAATTTAGAGAAGCAGCTTGATCCATCAAGGCAAATGTTACACGATATTTTTTCTGTTCTTAATGCTCTTATCGCTTAAGAAAATGTTACGTGTAAGTGTAACGGAGTATATCAAATCCAAAGTTGTTGATTTCTTCATTGGTTTGCAACCCAAAATATAATGCATCTTACATTTCAAATTAAACTGGTTGATTTCAACCGATTTAAAGAGAGAAAGGACAAAAGAATTCAGTCATTTCAAGGAGGATGATAATTGAGTGTTAAAAATCTAAAACGAATTAAAGTAACTCACTAATTTTGCTTTGGAAAAAAATTACATTCATCAAAGGCTAAAGACGGTAATACGATTACAAAAATGTAAAGAAAATCGTTTTTCAGAACAATCCAAGCTATCGTAATGAGAATCACGCAAAAGCTATGAAAATAATGCAGTTAATTAATTTTTTTACCATAACTGAATTCACGAAATGAAACTAATGGAATGCGCCTGTTATTTATGCCATAACTAAAGCCATGAATTTGTTTCAATGGAGATTTTTAAAAAAGATTTAAAAACAACGCGTTTTAATTGAAAAGACACCTGAACATTTAACAAAAACTGTTTCCACTTTCATTACTTATTACAGGAATTAAAAGATTTCTGTTATTCGCAAGAAAATGTTTTATTCCTTATCTTTTCAAAAGAGATACTTTTTAATTAAATGCATAGCTATTTAAAATTTATTGTAGCTATGTAAACTATCTTAGTTATTTAATTTGATATGGCTATTTAAACTCCTATAGCTATTTAAAGATATGCATAGATATTTGAAACTGTGCATGACTACAATAGTTAAAAAATAACACAGACTCGTATGGATATTCAATGCAATACTAATCTAACTTTTCTGAATTATTTTACCTATATCTATCTTTATCTTTCTCAATCGAAAATGTTTTTCAATGACAGAAAATGAAGATTTTTGTTTAAACTCAGAAGATATTATATGCTCCCACTTACCACCTGTCAATTCGGGCAATTGATCTAATCCAGCACTAAATAATAGACTATTCGCCTCTTGAGGATGTCGGTCATGTATCCATTTTTCTGCTTCGATTACTTTCGAATAGTTCGTATTTGATATGATATCATCAGCCAGTTCATTACGAATATCCTCTATAGATTTGTTTATGCCTTTTGTTTCCAATATTTTGCTGAAAACTCCATAAAAACAATCGTTCAACTTAGTTTCAATATCAAAACGATTCCCATTTGCATCTATGTAATAAGCGTGTCCAACTTGATCAGTATTTTTATCATCTTTACTGCCTTTTTCTACATATATAACTTCAACACCATTATCTATTTCTTCTTGTGTCCTTTGATAATTTTTATCATTAACTATTTTTAGCTTAATGCCATATTTTTTCATCATGAGGCTTATTTCGGCCATAGTAGCAGGTCTATTATTTCTAACATCATCAGCACGCTCTTCTACTTTTTTATCTACTTCTTTTCCATTTTGCACAGTGCTGGAAGTCTTTGCATAATAAGCCACTTCACATTGCGTATAAGCAATACAATAATCTCTAGAATTGTAATTAATTTGCTCTGCAAATGTTCGATATTTGCCATAGTTTTTCATGAATGTTTTTTCTTCTTCTGTTAAATTTGTTTTATTTTTAAGTTCATCATATTTCTCTTGATCCTCATTTTGACTATCTGAATTTTGATCTTTATCAACCAAATAATGATGTTGAATTTTCGCTGAAAGATTACTTGTTACATGACTAACTGCTAATGTTGACCATGGTTGTATCATCTGTGATTCAAGTACTTGTATTAATTGTTCTGTTATTTTGTCTGCGACAGATTTAATGATTATACTAAATGAATCATATTCAACTTCCATGTATTTGTCACAAAATGATTTCATAAATTGTGCAACAGCAACTTCATTTTCCCTTCTATTGAATTCATCTATTTTCCTTTTCAATTTTATGCAATCATCACTAACATCATAATAAGATGAAACGTTTAAATTATCATTTTCGTCAATTATTTCCATATTTCTAAGTTTATTCGCTATACTTCTTGCATCTTCTTTATCAATCTTAAGATTTCGATGTAGAATGAGCGTGAATGTCATTGCATTTTTATCAATTTGTGAAAGTTTCTTTACCAGTTCTGCATATACGTTATCAATTAACGTTTGAACTGTGTGTAGACCCTTTAATGTACCAATAATTCTAAATGCCATACTAATAGCACTACCATAATTTTTGGAATCTGCTAAAATACCTTTTAGTAATGGTAGACCAATTGAATCCCATTGTCTACGAGCAAAATCATGTTGTGGATTGATTGTATCTGCAACAATTTGATCTACTTTACATTGTAGCATTTTTGTCTTGGTTTGTAGGTCTAATGCATACGTTTTTCGTAACAAATATGTCAAATCAGGTTTAGAAAATGTTGACCTGATTCTTGATTGAACTAATTCAGATATTTGTGATTCAATTAGATCAAATGAGAAATTCGACAAATATTGTATACCACTGTTGAGACCTTCTCTTACAATTGCTTCGCCTGCTTTAACACCTGTATATTTAAATGCAAGGCCTTTTAGATTTTTGCCAGTCTGAGTAACTGTCTGACCTATTGTTTTTGCGTTTGTTGCAAATTGTGTTCCTACTTGTTCAACTGCCTCTGTACCAGCCGATCCAGCTAATGTCTTTATACCTTTCCCAGCATCTTTCAGCTTGGAATAACCCATCGAAACAGCAGAAATGATTAAACTAACAGCCTTTTGTTTACAATAGTCACTCCAACTAAATTGTCTATTGCTAAATGCTCTATATGCAGTAAACATATCAGCTATGCCTTCGGTTATTAGACCCATTCCAACAGTAGAACCAAATCCAGTTGCAATAAGAACTCCACCAGCAATAACTTGAATAGATGCTAATGCGGCTACAGCTATTATACTTCTCCAAGGAATGAATCGTTTCTCACTTATTTCAATCATATATTCGATACCTTTTGCTATGAATTCATTCAGTTCAAGAGTAGGCACAGAACCTTTTGTATATAATTCCATTATATTTTTAACTTTATTTATTTGTATATTTTCTTGATCGAGATTTGTATGAGCCACAATGTATTCAACTTGATCATTTGTTAAATCTTTAAATTCGAGAGAAAATTCAATGTTCTCTTTACGAAGATCCTTGATTACAATCTCTGACATTGTGTTGTTTAAATTAGCGAAATAAAAATTTGCTTGTCCATTCAGACCATTAATACTATTATATAAATCTATACCAATAAATGAAATGTTAAATGACATTTCTTTACAATCATTAATAAGACTTTTAATTTGATGAGTTTGTAATGATTCAAGTTTGATATAAAAATATGAATCATCGTTTTTAAGTTCTTTTGCTCTTTTCAATAGTTCATCTCTATTTACTTTTTCATAGAGTTTCTGTTCAGTTACATGTACTTTTGCAGTATTAATATATTTATTACGATCAAGTATTGACAAAAGTATTGATTTAATTGCTACCATTTCGATATTTATAGATTCGGCTTTTATTGAAGAGAGTTTTTCATTAGCACTTTCATAATCCAAACCATCAAAATGAACTTGAAGACTTATAGAAATATCAGCTGTATTTTTGAAATAGTTATTTATTTCATTCACATTTGAATCTTTAATAAGGATATTAAATCGAAGTTTCTCATCCGCTTTTGTTTCAATCAATGAGATAAGTTCGTTTATTTGTTTATTTTTGAATACTTCAGTCTTGTTATCACTATGTATAATTGTCAAATCAATTGGATATGAACTTGTTATACGACATGTATTCCAAAAGCTTCTTTCACTTTTAAGTTTATCTATGGCTGACTCTTTAGTAAGATCTAGAAACTCTTTATTTTGATTGAAAAGTATCTTCATTCTGTCCAATGGCACTTGTTTCAATGCAAGACGTACGCCATTATATGATGACTTTAATTGATTTTTTGAGTATGCCTCATTTATAGCTATCAATGCTTGATCAATTGTACCACTATCTTCTCTTGATGTTAAATCATTAAATGTTAAAGTATAACTTGCTTTTTTGTCCATTTTAATCTCTAATTTATTCTTGCTGTTTCTTTCAAGTTCATAATGATGCTCAATCTTTTCTAATACATTGCCACTAGATTGTTGTTTGGTTTCAATTAAGTCAATAAGTCGCAATGATTTTTTAATTGCACCGATATTATTTTGAATACTATTCAAATATGTTCCTAAAATAGTCGCTTTCGTAGTAAGTTGTTTATATAATTCACTACCAATAAATGCTGGTTGTTTTTGTTCTAAAAGCAATTGCATTGCATTTAACATAGCCATTTCATTTGATAATATATTCAATGATTTATTAAATGATTCAAGTGCTTTCTTTTTATAATTCTCATCCTGAATTATAAGTGAACACCAAGCTATACCCAAATGTGCAGCACCAGAACTTGCTTCATCCAATTGAATAGCTTTCTCAAAATGGCTCAATGCATGTTTAACCTTTGAAGAGCTGCGTATTGACCATTCATTTACAATGATATCGTTTGCAATCGCTGTATGATAATACGGGTTTTTAATAATATTCTCTTCCTTGTAATTGTTTCTCAATGTATCAATTAATTTTTTACATTCTTTTTCTGCATTCTCTAATCCTATTGTATTATCATCCAATTTTCTTAAGAACATTGCCCATTGTTCTTCAATAGATGCAATCAAATTAGCCTCATAAACAGTTGGCATTACATGTTTAAATAGTTCTTTTGCTTTATTCAAAAGTGTTTCAAAGCATCCTTGTTTGTTTCGAATATCAAGACGGATTTCTTCATTTAAAAATGTGCAAAATTGTTTAAATAGTTTATCTTTTGTTTGAATTAATTTAAGTTCATGATTTTGAAATTCGTTTAACATATTTGATTCGATAACATCTCTTTGCAATTTGACTTCTGTAGTATTTACATTGCTACAATCGATTAAATTCATCGAATTTAAAATCATCAATCCGGTGCCACGTTTGCCTTGTCTCGCTGTCCTTCCAAATGCTTGATCTTCGACACGTTGATTATTTGGCATAAATGTTAAGACAACATGCAAACCGCCAAATTCTTCTATATCATCTGTACGTATATCAGTTCCTCGTCCAGCTAAATTTGTTGCAATAATTATTTCACTAGGTAAGATTTTTTCGACATGTTTCTCCTGATTCATATTATTCATTGTATAGAGTTTGATAGCAGTTGATCTATGTTGACTTTTCAATAGATCAGCAAGTATATTTGCATGAGCAATATTTTCACAGATAATCAATATACCTCTATCTTTTTTTGTTTCAATCAATACTGTTGAACGTATTTCTTCTAACCATTTCGTCTCATCTTGAACAACGATAGTTTCTAGTTCGAGATATTGTTTCTGACGTAATTGTGGAACATTGACTAAATCGACATTATAGACATCTTTCAATACTTTTTTTGCTTTTTCTGAACCAAGTGTACCAGTTAGACCATAAATATTCTTATAATTATTTATAAAGCCAATATTTGATAAAAAGTTAGTCGTAAATGTTTCCGAAGTCATTTTTAAGTTATGTTTGATTTGTAAAAATTGATGTAAACCGTCACTCCAATTCGTTGAACTTTGTACAATACCGGTACTATAATAGTCAACTGGTTTTATTTGACCTTCTTGTACGATATAATGTATATTTTCTTGATAATTTAGTGCTTCGATCGCATTATGTATCCATTTGAGTTTTTGAGTTTCATAAAACTCTTTATAATTCTTTGAAATTTCCAATTTTTTCTCGCTGATTAGACTAGCTAAATATTGATCTAAACATTTTTTTAAATAGTCATCTAAATCACCATTGATAACTTCTCCTATATCACTGATATCTTTATTTTTTGAAACATAACTTTCCAAATCGGGTATTTTGAGAATATTATTATTATCATCCAGATATTCCAATAGAATTTTTCCATTTTCAAATCCGACCTTACCATTAACCATATACATCGTGTTATTAAACATGATAAATCTTTCCTTAATTGTTAATAATCTTTGCCAAATGTAAACATAAACAAGTTGAAAATAATCCATTCCAGCAGCTGTTGATGAAAGTCGTGCAATTTTTGAACTATCATCAATAAGCATACTATCAACTTCATCGACTATAGCTATTTCACATTCTTTAACACCGAGTGTACCTAACATACTATATTGATCTCTTAATGTATCAAATTGAAATTGTGACACTTCACCATATACAATATCAGCTGTGTAACAATCTTTTCGACCATGTAAATAAATTGTTTTGTCATTATTATCACTACATGTCAAATGAAACATTTTAAATAATTTCATTTTTTGTTTGCTATCTCTTTCCGCCAAAACAGGTGAACTAGTAATAACATGAACTTGTTTGTTTTTCAATGCATTTATTATTGCCAATATACATACAATTGTCGATTTACCTTCACCAGTAGCGACTTGTAATAGTTTACCTCTAGTATTTGATTTATTTTTTAATGCTATTAAACTGCACAGTATTTGTGTGTCGGTTAAATGATAACCAGTAAATAGAAAATTTGCCCGTTTTATAACAGCAATTGCTTCCAAATTACTAAATTGTTCTCTTCTTGATTTAATCTCTTCTGACCAATTATTAATTTGTTTAATACCCCATTCAGCTATTGGTAATTGGGTACATTCAATATTTGACTTTAAGTCCTTTCTCTTTATTTCTTCTAATTCCTGCAGTAATTCTGTTCTGACATACTTGACTAAGGATGTATTATCTTTATTAGATTTTTCCAATTCATTTAATAACTCTGCAGGACTTTTTACTGTTCCTTCTAATTGAAAATTATTTTCAATAATCAGTTTATTCAATCCTTTTAACATTTGAATAAAATTATTCGAATCTGTAATTAACTGACTGCATTTCTTGTAATGTGAAGATGATAGATTGTATTGATTGATAACTTTCAATATATCTATATAATTTTGAAGTTTTCGGTGTGAATTAATTTCGTTAAATGATTCTGTTAGTTCATCAAGTTGATCAAATGTCCAGTTTCTTTGAAGTAACAAACATAGATGGTTAAATAGAACGTCTCTATAACTTTGTTTCTCATTGTTTATGGTATCGATTTTATTACATATATATTTTGCTTCAAGTAGACTCTTAAATTGAGTAATATTAACATTTTGAAACCACAAATCGTCCACAGTTAGTTTTTTTATGGAACAAAATTTTATCATATCTTCAAATTCTCTTAAATTATCTATCCGTGATATACATTTGAATAGACTTTCAATAAATTTGATATTGAATTTTGCACAAATATTTTTACAAAGTTCATACAGATAATTTTCGTCAATGTTTTTGTTTATCAGCTGATTTTTCACCATTTCCATGCACCAGTCCTTTTTTAATGTGTTATAGGGAAATTCATGATTACTTAAAATAATCATTACATCATCATATGATCTTGTATGGATGCACAAAAACATGTCAATTATCTCTGTAATTGACTTGAAGTTTAGAACATGTGGCATTATTAAACTTAACATCTTTACGGACTTGTGATACTTGAATTTCTCTTCAATTATAAACCAATTACTGTAAAAATCGATTCGATCAGTTTCATATACTTTAAAATGTTCAAATAAACTTGATATAATAAGTTCTCTTGTCCAGTTTTCCTTGGCATTTTTCTTAAATACATCTAAATCAATAAACTCCAGCGAAACGATTACTTCTAATATGTCTAAATAATTTTTATCTTTCTCTATTTGTACTCCAGCGTCGGATAGATTTTCTATTGTGAAATCGCACCAATCTTGAAATACTTCAGATTTCTCATATTGACTGTTATTAAGAATGCTTCTTAATCCTTTAAACGAGAAGCTTCTAATAAGCCGATCATCGTGATTATGATTTTTTTCTAAGAATATGATGCATCTTTCAGATAATTGACAATACTTCAATGAGTAAAAAATTGATTCGATTAATAGGGGTAATAGCGATGACTCATCGTTTTCGTTGTAGATTTGAACTAATTGATCAAGAACTTGTTGTACTTGTTGATATTTTTTCTCTTTAATTATACGACAATAACATGGTAATACAATTTCTTTACTTTTGTTTGTTAATAAAGCTTGTTCAATAAGAAAAACGAACGCTTGATTATCATAATACAATGGATTGGTTTTAATTGACATTTGAATCAGTTTTTCTACATTTTGAAGGTCTAAAATGTTAGTTTTTGCTTTGAGAACTGTTAATAGTTGTTTTATTTGCTCATCATTTAATTGAAATTCTGTTTTTAATTCTTTGTAAAGATTACTTTTTGAAAATGATTGTCTTATTTCATCAGCTTTATCATTATTTATTTTTTCATTAACGATTTCAACGGCTTTGTGATTTAAAATTTTTCCACTACGCTTTGCATCTTCAAGTAATTTGGAGCAAGAATATTTTATATCTTTGGAATTTATACTTTCATGTAATAGTACAATGCTTTCTATAAGATCATCAGTCATTTTATTTTTTGATTTAGATAAATGTAAAATTTCCAAAGCCTTTTCTTGTAATTCAAAATCTTGATCAATTATATTTTTTAATTGGTTGTAGTTTTGTTCTAATAATCCATCTTCACGACTTGCAAATGCATTTAATTTATTCAATAGTTCACGATCCGTTTTATAATTCAAATTAGCCAATTCCATTTTTGCTTTATATTTTTTCAGCTGTTCACCATTATTTTCTTCCATAAAGATAAATAATGAATAAATTTCGTCTTTTATTGTTTTATCACAATGTAAACTTGTACCAATTGCTATTACTTCGTTGAGAAGATTTGAATCAACTTGTACAAATTTAACTAATATGCGTAACACATTAATGGATATTTTTTGTAAATTATTATTATCCGAATTGATCTCATTCATTAATATTTCTTCTATTCTTTTCTTGTATAGTTTAATGTCTGTTTTATGAGTTTGAATCAGCGATCCAAGTGTGCTCAAAAATTCTTGTTTTAACATAATATCTTTTTCAATTAAAATTCTGTCCAATATTTTCTGAATTATATTTTCGCTTAACTTTTCACCCTTTTGTGCTAAATATACAAATATTGAAAGTATATTATCTTCGATTTCTTCCCTACTTAAAGCCATTTCTAATTTATTCAAAAGTTCAGCAGATAATGTTTGATTGTTCTTCGCTACATTTTCAAAGACACCAATTAAAATAAATTGATTACTATTTGGATTAAAAGTATCAATTAGTTTATTAAGTAAATCATATTGTATTATCTGTTTATTTTTTGATATATTGTACAATACTTGTAAAGTATCTTCATTCTTAATTTCGCTCTCTAAAGCATTAACTGTATCGATTGGTAGTTGCATTCCATTGCTAGTTTGATCTTGCATAAACTTAATAATTGATTTCTTATTAGTGGATCTAGATAAAGTAAGACCAGCTTTCGTAAGCTCTAATTTATAGAAAATGTTATCAGGTAAATCTTGATTTTTTCTAGTTTTTTCCAGTAGTTTAAACGAATTGTATCTTCGTCTCGCATTTATTGACATGTACAAATCGTCGATTAGTATCTGTAATATTTTGTTTGTAACCGGTTGACCATTACGAATAACATTGTGAATAGTATAAATAGCTTTCTCAAATTGCTCGGGAAAACCAAGCGCATTTTCTAAAACTTTTATTGTACTTATAGGTATTGTATATGTATTTGTATATATTTGAAGTATCTCAAGTACTTTAATACTATGGTTTTCATTTAATAATAAAATACCATCAAGTAAAACAAATATATTTTCATCTTCAAATTTTTGTTTACTTGCTTCAAATTTTAATATTTCAAGTATGTTCAAGTTAATTTCATTTGCATAATTAACTGCTCCTAGTTTCAAACTTTGAGTAACAAATAATGAACTTAAATTTTCCATAAATATCGACTCGATTGGCTTACAAAGTTTAGCCAATTTCACCAAACCATACGAATAAGCTGAAAGAATATAAACACTTACATCATAAATTTGATTGTTTATAAAATCTTTCATTTGACTAAGAACATCGTTTTCTAAAGGCATATATTTGGATAAAAGATAAATGCACTTGGATGATATTATTTTTGTTTGTTTATCATCGTTATTTAATGCTAAAACTAAGTTATCAATTGTTTTGTTCGTTAGTTCCATTTGATTTTCAACCGATAATAATATTATTTTAGCTGTTAGTAATGAAATTTGATTACAATGTTGATTTTTTTCTGAACGCTCTTCAAAAGTTATTTTTGAATCTTCATCTAATTGAACAACATCGTTACTCGCCAACTTGTGAGATATGTTTTCCAAGTCTTGCTCGTCCTGAATATAATTTCCTTCCCGAATAGCACGACTTAGTATAAGTAAAATATAATTTGAACAACTTTTATCTAAGCATTCCATATTGTTAATTAATTTTGTCATAATGTCCTCTGATAATGAATTGCTTTTTTCAACAATTATCAGTATTGAAGTAAGCACGAAATTAATAAGACCAGGACTTGAATCATCAGATTCCAACACGTATTCGATCAATAATTCCAAATGTTCGTCTTTCAAAGCCTTGTTTGTTTCATGTTCCAAATAATTATTAATTATCTCCATAATATCTTCCTTTATTCTATTATCATAAACGTAACTATTTAACAAATTAATTAATTTTTCAAGCACTTCATCGGTAAATAATTCTTTACTTCTTTTCGCGTCTTTGGCTTGGTTATTCATAAAATTAATTATCATCTCACTATTTTCACATGGTCCACGTACTAATACATTGGTATATGTTTCAAATGTTGTTTTATAATCAATTTCATTAGTTGAATTAGCTATGTTCATTAACTGAAATATTAATTTTGTAAACTTGGCATCATTATCTTGATAATTTGTTAAACATTTTTGAATTTTATTGATTCTATCCTTAGTAAGAACTTTTTTGTTTCGAAGTGAACAGTTGTATATGGCATTTAAACCGTCCAATCTAATTTTATTAATTTCAGTTTTTATTATTTTTGTTATTTCAGTTTCATTGAATGCTTTTTGTTTCACTTCAGTGGAGTTCCAAAGCCATCCCTTGTGTACAACAACTTCTATGGTTTTGTTTATAATTGTTTTAACAAATAGAGCTACTATATCTGGTTCTTGTAATTGGCTTAAAGCATTATATTCAGCATATATGCTATTAACAAATAAGTCTATTATATCATATTTGGAATCTAACGCAGCTGAAACAAAAGTATCCAAGTCAGTTACACATGTCATTAGTTTATTTATTGCATCATTGTTTAATTGCTGTTTTTTTGATGTTCTAAGCAATATAGCAATAATCATTCTATTAATAAAAAACGAATAAAGTTTCTTTCTCTTAAACATTGTAAAAGTCTCTTTTGGTGACATATTTGTATCATACATGATATGCGTGCCAAATAATTTGCCTGGTAAATAATTATCTTTATCATCACTTTTTAATGCTTGTCCTTGTACTACTACTAATGTGTATAAACTAACACATTCTCCCCAAGTAGTTCTCCACATTGATCTGTCATTACCAGTTGTATCATTCACAGTGTCTATTGCTTCTAATGTTGTATTCATATTTAATGTCCTGTTTCTATTTTTAAGTGCATCGGATAAATTCATAAATATCATCTGTGTCTCTTCTGACTGTTTATTATTGTAACTTGATTTCACAGTTTGTATTGTTTTGGTAACTACTAGTTTGTTCATTTTTTTATTACTATTAGAATGGCCCGTTGATTTAAATCGATGCTCCATTTTTAATTGATCACTGCTATAAACACTTTTACTGTTTTCTAATCGAATTAATAAAAATTCTTTTGCATCTTCATTTATATCAAACGTATTCAGCACCAAACTACTTAATTCATTAATTAATTCGTTGTTCAATGTCGATTTTTCAGTCATGTAAGCCAATGTATAAACAAGTTCAGTCTTAACAGACTCGTTATTACATCGTTTTATCAAATCGATGACATCAAAATATTGAATTTCGTTTATCAATTGTTCGCTATTACGAGTTAAATACTTTAATGATAAGCACAGAAAATAATGAACTTGTTCATCAACATTACCATTCAAGTTTTTCAAATATTGACTGAATCTTTTTAACAGATCTTTATGAATACTTGTCAATTCGTCGAATGTAATTGTAAACTTGCGTATGTAATATGCTAACTCCTTAGATTCTTCTAAATAAAATAATTTGTCTTGTTTGTAAGAACGTTTTAATTCGTTAATTGCAATTGTTTTATCAAATTCACATTCGATAGATTGCTTGAATTTATTTGATTCAAGTTTTTGAAATTTTCTTACTGCTAGTGCTGTTATTACAACTTTTCGAAGTCGTAAGGGTTCCTTAGATGGTTGACTTTCGTTTTTGGTTTTATAGTTTGCGACTGTTTTTAATAATGCTTTAAATGTTCCAGAAAACATACCGGTGGAATATTAGGTTTATCTAATAATAAAATCTAAAATCAAATAAGAAAAAAAAGCTGTTAGCACAATCCCATGCGGGATTAAAAATGTGAAACACGATGAACCTGTTCTTACTAATAAAATGGAAATCCTGTTGTTCCATATCCTTACCACACATTTATAGCTGACCGCATATCTGATGCATTATAACTAAAATTTCTCTGTCACGGTCTGTGATGGGTCTAGAGGTTCTCTGTCAGGTCTGTGATGGGTACCTGAATTCTCTGTCACGGTCTGTGATGGGTATGGATTTTCTCTGTCACGGTCTGTGGGAGGGGGGGGGGGGGGGGTGCAAAATTTCTACCCTATACACTTCAACACTCCTTTCAGATCGTGTTTCACAAAATATGGAGCGAACATATTTGTTATTCGAAATAATAAACAGTATAGTATTTGTTTGACAAAAAAATTTCAGCTTGAAATTTCGATCAGAAAAATACATATTGAGTAAACATGATTCAATACTTTAAAGGGCCCCTCAGAAAAACCAATTTTTTCGAAAAATGTTGGCGTTGAGATTTTATTATAGAAAGATGCGCCGAAGTCTCCTCTTTCAGAATATATAGGTCTTTTCCCCCAAAAGCCTAGGTTTTAATAAACTTATCAAGGGAGATTTGACCTCCACTACCATGTTTTTTCCACGTTTTTCGAGACATTTTTGCGATTTTTGGAAGCCTTTCAAAAACTGAAAAACATTGCTTTTCTATTTTAATACATTGTATTAAGAAAAAACAAAATATACCACAAGATGCAGCGTGAAAAGCTCTACAAATTATAAACAACAACTAAGTTTATATATATGCAACTTTTGCTTGAAAAATGGACAAAATCCTGAAAATACGCCATTTTAATGTGTTTTTTTTTTGAATTTGAATAAAAAAATCCATTTCTAAATTTGTTTATCGTTTTTCTTAGAACATGGTTTCTAATCAGAAAAATTGAAATAACTCCCTCTCGGCTCAGTCAATATCCAATATTTTTTTTGTTTTAAAGGTCTCAATCAGGGCTAACTTTTGTCCGAACGGATTTTTTATAGTCGGTTCCTGGGCTGAGATAAGTGGAATTTACTGTCGTGGAACGACCATTTTTTACGCTGGTTTGCAGACCATGCCACCATAAACGCTCATAAAAAATGAATGGGATTGAATTTCAAAATTCTGTTCGAACAAAAGTTGCGTACTGATATTAGCTTTAATTTGAAACAGCCCGAGCTCTCTAGCACGTGCCTGGACAGAGTTATTTCGATTCCAAAGATGGGTCATGAATCAGCTGGAACTCTCGATCTAGTACTATCTATAGGGCTGAAATTTTTACCAAAAGAGTAATGCATCAGGATCAGTCATCCCTAAAAATTTTAGCCAAAATCAATAATCTAAAGTGGGAAATCATTTGTGAGGGACTCTTTAATATACAAGAAATATTGATTTGACGAAGACATAATGTCCAGATGTTGTACTAGAAATATGTTTTCGGCGATCCTGAGACCAATTTTTGTGACTTTTCAACTGTGTCTGTGGGTATGTTCGCCTGCTTGCGATGATGGAGTCAATCCCTCTCTGATAATAAGGTAGCATTAGGACTAGATTTATATTATCTCAAAGAATTCGATACTGTACTTGTAAATGAAAATAAAAAATGGAAAATATCAATATACCACAAACTCAATCCCTTATAACCTCTGAAAAAGCATTTCTGTATACAGATTAATATAATCTTTCAATAGTATTATATAAAACAACAGATATCAGATTCACAATAATTACAAGTAGCGCGACGCAAGCATTGTTAACCCTCTACAGAAAGGAGCTATGCCATCATGCATACTCTGTGTGAATAAAGAGCTATAGACCAGAGATCATAGACTCGTCATGTTTCCTTACCTCACCACAAGGCGAGGCGAGGCAGGATTTTACGCACCGTGACGAGTGCAAGTTGATTTCGAGACTCGCTGAGTCAACTCATCTACTCAAAATATAATTGTTAGTGAGTAAATGGTAAACCATTAATGTTATCTCCTGATTTTATTGTTCACTTCTTAAAGAATTTCTATTGGCGACGAAGTTAAAACTAATCACCACAATGAATGAGTACGAATATTTACGCAAACATAATTATCTATTTGGTCTGTCGTACAATTTGATTTAGGTCTTAAATAGATTGACTCAATTCAAAGTGAATTAAGAAACAGGATTGATATTACCATGTAATGACGTCAATAACATTGGTTAATTGACTTCAAATTAAGCCAGCCTGTTTGAAGTCTTACACAATTACCATTGTGAATTTAACTAATGTGACCTCTGTTATGTTAGCTAATAGAAAATTTTACGATAAAAATTTTGATCTAGATACGTATTATTGTTCAGCAAACTGTTATTCTTCTTATAATGATATTATCGATGTAACAGAAGAAACTTGTTTAGATTCTCGCAATGCTGATCATACATTATCAGATATTTCTCGAATGTCCTGTAGAAGGATTTATAATTGATTCATGTGTAAAGATGGAAATTTAACAATAGTCGAAAATAGGAACAAATATACGAAAAGTTGTCAGCCTCGGTTTGGTTTTCCAGCTGTTACTGATAATTAAGGTGTTGCGGTAACAAAATTAAACAACATTGTCTCATGTAAACATCGCTATATAACATATTCTTACAATAATAATAGCATCTCGCAAATGAACAAGTACATTTGTGGATGTCTACCAATAAGATCTTCAAAACATTGATGCAATGTCCTCATCACCTTTAAAACAAATATGTTTTCTTTCATCTGTAATCGCCCAGAATCGATTAAAATAAGTGAAGAAAAAGGTAACAAAATAGAAAACTTTCTTGTAGAACGGTTCTGTATGGGTATCAGACCATACTCGACCATCATTGACCAAAGACTTCGACCTTTCATTCAAGAATGTATTTCTTTGGGTATTACACAACCTATCCTTAAACATTCTTTCTTCATTCTCTTATTGTACTCTATAGAGACAAAGTATGGAAAATTCATATCGATAACATATTTTTTGGTGCTAACATTATTTCGTCTCACGTCGAAATATTAGTTAATCAATATAGACCTGAATTTCGACAAAAACTCATTGAACCATTATCACAGTATTATTTATTTGTATCTCATTTTGTATTTTTATTTTTCGCACTTATCTATATATATATATATGAAATGTACTTAACTTGATGAAAAGAAATAAGCTAGATAGTAATTGTTGTGGTTGACCGAAGAACTTCCTCAAAAAAAACCATTTTTATAATAGATCGTAGATGAGACGAGGTGAGACAGCAATAGATGGCTTGTCAGTATGGCAAGACGGTGGCGAGTCGCAGTTTTGGCTGACTCGCCGATCTCTGCTATGGACCTAGTACTCTCACATAGTTAAAGGATCAAAAATTAAAGAAACAGTCAACGGATATATGTGACCATGATAAATTTTCTAAAAAGATCAAAGTGTAGGCCAGTCATAAACAAAAATTTCCACACATCAATTGGTGAGCTATTTGCAACCAGGATTAACAGAGTACTGACAGTCGCTAATAATTCATATGGGCAAAACAGCTAACGTGATTGATAAGAAACTTTCTTACCCTCATATTTCTGCTATATTTCAGCGATACCTTTTTGGCTTCCTCTTGAAAACATATGATTAAAAACTGTTGGAAGTAAAGGAAAACTGCTATATATAGTTCGTCAAATTTTTCAGCTCAAATATTGGATAAATCATATCAAAAATGAATTGGTCTTGATGTAAATTATTTTTAACTTGATACTTCTCATGACTTGAAAATAACAGTCGAGTCAAGTGAGATCTTTATTGCCAGCTAAACTTTTTATGGATCCACATTTTATAAAGTATTTGGGTAATTCTATGGAGTTCCTCATGACGTTACATGTGTGATCTCCGACTGGTCTTCAAACAGCATCATTTGATAGAACTTTTACGTGGATCATTTCGATTACAAAAAAGTCTGTCATTGATCGTACAATTAGTGAGAAATTCACAAAGTACGAAAATACGCATTTTTGATTATTTTCTCTAACTTTAAATGTAATTGTTTGCATTATTTTGGCGAATATGAATCTAAATGTATTTTCTAGTCAAAATTTCAACCCCAGATTCATGTGTAACATCGAAAAATCTTCAAGCTCATCTATTTTTCAAGGTAAATTTAAATTATTTTTACTTGAACCTCATTAGCTACTCCTTTCGACTCAATAGCTAAAACATGCAAAAATATATGCTCACCATTTGCTTCGAAAATGAAATTCATTCGGAAAACCCGGCATACAATTTGATAAAGGAGCTTCTTCTCTATCGATCTATGTAGACAACTTTTTATGCAGGTGTCATTTCCTATGAAAATTAGAAAAAGAACAAAAAACTGCTGCTGTGTTAACATTTTTAGTAGCAGGAGTTT